TTAAAAACCGCAAGTCCAATTGCTTTGATACTACATATATAGGTACTACATGTGAACCTCTCTCAGATTTGTTCATTTCGTGATGATATCTTCAATTCTCTAATTTTGGTGAATATTTTTGTAATTTTTGGTAAAAAGTGATTTTTTCGATTTCTTGTTAAAAACCACAAGTCCGATTGCTTTGATATTACATATATAGGTACTACATGTGGACCTCTCTCAGATTTGTTCATTTTGTGATGATGTCTTCAATTCTCTAATTTTGGTGAATATTTTTGTAATTTTTGGTAAAAAGTGATATTTTCGACTTCTTGTTAAAAACCAATAGTTCAATTGCTTTGATATTACATATTTAGATACTACATGTAGACCTTTCTTAGATTTGTTCATTTCGTGATGGTATCTTCGATTCTATAATTTTGGTGAATATTTTTGTCATTTTTGGTAAAAAGTGATATTTTCGACTTCTTGTAAAAAACCAATAGTCTGATTGCTTTGATATTACATATATAGGTACTACATGTGGACCTCTCTCAGATTTGTTCATTTTGTGATGGTATCTTCAATTCTCTAATTTTGGTGAATATTTTTGTAATTTTTGGTAAAAAGTGATATTTTCGACTTGTTAAAAACCAAAAGTTCAATTGCTTTGATATTACTATATAGATACTACATGTAGACCTTTCTTAGATTTGTTCATTTCGTGATGATATCTTCAATTCTCTAATTTTGGTGAATATTTTGGTCATTTTTTGTAGAAAGTGATATTTTCGACTTCTTGTTAAAAACTGTAAGTCCGATTGCTTTGATACTATACATATTGTTCATTTTCTAATGATGTCTTCAGTTCTTTAATTGAAATGTGCATTGCTAACAGCGGAGCTATCTCAGCCGATAGGCTGCTTGTTCAAATTCCTGTTGAATCAGTATTTTATGATTGCGAACAGAATCAAATTACATTTAACAGTTTTCTTTGTTTGTGATAACCCCGCATTTGTTTTGGCAGGCGACAGACAAGTATTGTGAAAACAGGAAATCAACAATGACAAGAGAGATTCGCTGAATCAACATTTCGCTATTACGTCATATTACCATAATTCACTAAAACTGCATGTCGCTTTTTCAACATGTTTTACAGTATTTTACTTGGGGACAAACATGATTCAAATATGTTGATATATCATGACTCCTGCAATTTAATTTATTCACAGAAATGGGTTAAACTACTAATTTGAATGATAGATCACAATTTGTTTCTTCTCAAATCAATCTATACAAAATATTATTCCAGCTACTCAAAAATTTGTATGGAAACTGCTGTTAAAATGTTATTTTTGGAATAATATTTGAATAAAAAAGTCTATATACTACATTAAAATACGCACACATATAAAAAATGCATGAGTATCATTCAACCATTCAAACAAACTGAATTCAAGTTGGTACATACATTGTTGGTTTCTTGTCAATCCAATCCATACATTCATATTATTTTGTTGTAAAATATTTTGAATATAATCATTCTCATTTTTGCTACCGATCGTCACCAAGTAGCCACCAAGCCGCTGACATTCAAAAGACGCTTCAGGCCATGTTTTCTTTTCTTGAGAGTTTGAAAAGTGATAGCAGTAACCACCATATGGTGTCCATGATGAGTTGGTTGGACAGGTGCCTTCTCCTGGAAGGGGGGTAGTAGGCTGTGGACCTGTATGTGATGCAATGATCATTTGATACAATCAATAAATGTATTTGGGGTTGCGTCTTGACTACAAAAAAAATCATTCATTGTGATAGGCTACCGGTATATACTTATATAAAGAGTAGTTTTTAGACTGATCAATCTTTGACAATCAATGTAGTTTTTTATTTTAATTGTCAAAATATAAACAAGAATATTTTCATTCTGACTCAATTACAGAATAAACATTTCATAGTTTTTCCAAATTCACACAAATTTATGAAAATTTTCTCCCAAATGTTTTTTTTTCTTGAATTCTTTTTTTTGACATCATTTACCATTGCCTATACATATCCTGATAAAAAAAAAATTATGAATTATTATATGTTTAAATTTGTATTACAATATTACAGATATTGTAATATTCAGTACATTTATTACATTATATTACAATTATTCATTTATTATCTCTTATTTTGAGATATGTACCGGTATTAATTTCACTTATTTACAGTATCATTAGTATTTCCTTTTATCACATGTATCATGCACTTTCGGTGTAATAACACCCGTGTGATATTTTTGGTATTACACACTTTGAAAGTGACGTCACACTTTAAGT